CAGAGAGGAACCCATCTTGTGTTGCGAAGTGGACTGCTATTGTCTGCGTATCTTTAAGAAAGTGTCCGAGGAAAGCAGAATGATTCGCGAGTTAGGAATAGTCAACACTTTAGAAATCTATGTGATGAGGACATGAACTCTCCTGTGACGTTGCAAGCAACACATACTGTATCTAATGGTGTAAGACCTTGTCGTGTAGGGCTTATAAGATGTACGGATAGAGGAGCTTTCCTTACGCCTCCATCTAACAGTTTCTGGAAACGAAAGTGGTACAATCTCTCCGACTATGAATCTGGCCCAAAGGCTTTGAGGCATTACCAAGTACCTCTTGATCGCGGTATGTGCCTTTTAAACCAATGCCACTTTGAAATGTACATATGAATGAAACGGGAGGATTCCTTTCCAAAAATGTGGTACATGTGAAGTGGAACTCCTGGAAGCCAACACTCTCGCAAAACTAACAAGGCTAAGAAGTCACGAAATTTATTAACATTTATTACAAAATTATTACAACAGAATCTTCATGCGGAAAAAATAGAATAAATTGCACATAACGTCACACGTCTTCTTAGGAATATTTCGCAAACAATGGTGTTGACAAGAAAGGTTTTGGCGATGCACATGTAGAGCTTCATACTAGAAAGGCAACAAGAATGTTACTGACACGCTAGTTAACTCGTAAAAGCAAAAAACTATGGAATTAAGAGTGAAAGTGAGAAGGGAGACCTGAACTCCTCATAGAACAAGAAAAATAGTGCTACTATAGTTGAGGATGGGAGCATACGGTCCATACGTAAGCCCAAAAGCGCAGACAAAACTCCGCCCTACGGCAGTTACAATGCGTGGGTCGCTCAACTAGAACAGCACCGAATAAATTAGTTTAACAAATAAAGTTGTCGCCTACATGTAGAAACGCGATAAGGCTGTTCATCTGCGTCTCTAATCGAAATAGCGATCTCATTCCTCCTCTGATGTTGCGTTCATACTTTGGGTAAGCGCCCACCAGCTACTACCACCTTCTCGACGTACCTGAGAAGTATAGGTATCAATCTAGAGAACTTCAGCGCAATCCAGCGTACAGCAGCGTTTTCGCGGGCAGTTCTGCTCAAGTTCGAAATTGCCCGCGGAAACGCTGCTGTACGAAGTTGTACGCCGGTGGACGCCGGCGTTCGCTAGATCGATATCCATACTATCATAGTAGCTGGCGTACGTTCGAAACGCTGGTGAACCTTGACGCAAAGTATGGACTCAGCCTAACAATAAGCTCAGCCTTGGATGAGCGCAGACGAGGGCCGTGTGTCCCACCCCAAATATGTTCTAAACAAATTATTTAGTACTAAGGAATTACTAAAGATTTGTACATGGAGGGCATGAGCTAGATAGCCTAACTAGAATAATTTGCACAATTACACAAGCAGAAACTCGCTCAACAAAACATCTACATCGATAGTTAAAGTAGCGATCTAGTTGGACTAGTAAGAGGGGTTATGCTTCTGTCAGTCGGCGCTGAAATGTGAGATGTCCCTGAAACGAGCTCAGCTTTCTTTTGCCGAAATCGTCCAACGAATCTGATTCACACGGCAGAAAGGGAATTTTTTTTCAAACTGTAAAGACTTACCTTGAAAAAAATATCCACGTAAGAAGGTATGGCTATATACAAAAGTACGCTACAGTTTTCACTGCCTGCCACTCAATAGCCTCTGCGAGCTGGAAAACGACCTCTGATACCGACAGGAACACGCAAACTTCGAAGGGGCCAGTGGGAGGGCTCACTCAGGAGCTTCTTCTCCTCGTCAGGAAAGTCTTCTGGTGACAGGTATCTCGGATTATCCGGGAAAGTGACAATCACTTCTGTTTCGCCAAATTTTGCACCATAATGTCCTGCCCAGTACTGGCTATCCTTTCCACGACTCATGACAGCGAGCTTCCGCATGCCACAAGGGTAATCGGAAAATACGTGCTCGACGGTCTCCCAAGAATCTCCACCTGAAAACGTTGGATGAAGCAGATCGAGCGACTGAGAAATATACTGAAAAGCGGTGAAGGAATCACTGCCCACCTTCCCACTGATTCCAAAACCGTGAATGTGTTGGGAATCGTGGTAATAAGACATTTTTATCATAGTTTTCGTCTCTTTTCAAGAGCTGGATTTTGAGTTCATAAACAGCCCCACAATCCTTTCTACAAGCACATCGTTCACGTACAGTGATGTTTGGCCGAATAATATCCATCACCCATCCCTGCAAATGAATATCCTTTGTTCAACCTAGCACTGAATTTGAAAAAAAAGAAAAAATTTAAGTGAAGAGAAGAAGAATTATTATTAAAATCCCCGATTTCTACTGCGATCCGTTTCTCTCACCTCAATTCCTGCTTTTTCCAGGTCGATTTCGAAATACCTATGACACCATTCATAGCTAGTAGCAAAGCAGATACGAACTTCATCACTGCAGTAAACAGGAGGACGTTCTATAGTGATCCTGAAAATAGAGGAAATGTAAACCACGATTCCATTTTCAAGTGCTACACAACACTTAAAGGCAGTTGGCACGATAAATCCCCAAGACGACTAGGATCAATACGCCTGGCAGGACGGAATTCCGCGACCCTGAGCAGGCGCTGCATAGCGGTTCCCAAGGAAGGTGCCCTTATAAGGGCCCTATCAAGCCACAACATTTACGACCCAAACGCCCCCGCCCGCCCACAAATGGACGACCGTTCTCGTATTCATTCATTTGCTAAGCAAATTATGAAGCGAAGGGATTGGTATGAAGCGGCCGTGATGCTGCATGCATACATGGGTACACATATGCAGCCGTATCTTCGGTAGCGGTGATTGGCAAGATGCCTACGGGAAACTCGTCCGAAATCGATTTACAAGTCACTGAGAACGGAGGCTTTTTCGCAGGATTTTGACCGTTTCACTCCGTTCTTTCGCCATTTCCCCACTATACAGCGCCCTACTAGCATTTTAGGCTAAGTAGGAAACCATCGTGCCAACTGCCTTTAAACATCATTCCTGAGTTATTTTTCTCGAGCAGGTCCACTGGAAAAATTTTAATCTCCAATCTTCTCGATAAAAAAATTCACTAAAAGTTCACTTTTGGCTTGGGCTTATTTATTAAGTGCCTAGATCATCAATCCCGCTGAAAACTTGCATACAGGACTTATTTAACATCCTGATTACGAATATGACATTCATTCTTGGCGCTGGCGCTAATGGAGGACACTACGATTATCTTCTGGGCTCAGCCTTAGCAGAGCGCAGATAATCGTACTGCTCCATTAGCGCCAGCGCCAAGAATGAATGTCGTATTCGCAATGAGAATGATAAATTAGCCCGGGAAGCAAGTTTTCAACGGATTTGGTGATCTAGGTACTTCAAAAATGAGCCGGCAGAGTGAGCGCAAAAGTGAGCGCGTCTAAACGGCATCAGTCCGAGAAGAGTATACCAACTAGCTTGCGACCAAAAACAGCTATCAATGGTGAAACTCCCGGGGTCTACTAAAATCACCTTCAATCCGAGATTTATTTCCGAATCACCTTGTGGAGCTCCACTTTTAGAAATTGTTTCCCCCATTCTGTTGAAAAGCATAACGCTTACTAAGTTAGATTATCTTACTTTTGGAAAAAAAGTGTTATATTCTTCAAAACGTTCCCCAGCAACACAGAGCAGAAAAAAAACTAAGAGCAAGCGAAATTGCATTTTTTTTCAGGCTTCACTGCAGTTTCATCAATTCAGTTTCATCAGTCCAAAAACTTTGAACGACCATTATAACAGCGGACAGATAACGACCTCTGTATGTGAATAACGGTCCAGCTTATAAGAGCGAACATACCCCAGATGAAGTGATGTAACCAAGGCCTCAACCTCAACCCCACCGAAGGCCAATGGATAGTCTTAAAGCACCGAATCACCGAGAAAAGTTCCTTGTCGAAACGGCTGTTCTCGATGAAGGGGACCGACCACTGCTGGGAAGCATTGTTGAGTCATGGCTGCGAAAAGCAACTTTTACTTGGCCACATGTCTTACCGTCCAAATTTTAAGTATAGCATTATTTTTATTCTATTTCAGTACCTTCGTTTTCGCTGCAAACGCTGGGCGTGTCAAGAGGCTTCCGAGGGATCTGGCGCGGCACCCGTCCGTTTCCACCAATTGTTGTAGCGGGCAAACGACAACGGTTACTGCAATGTGGACTGGCGTCGTGCAAAACCCAGTCCCCCTACCCCCCCCCCCGGAAAGCCCCAGCGTTTGAAGCCAAAATGGATATAGTAGTTTGCCGCAAGTTGAATGAACATGCTAAATCCGTAAACAAGGAATTTTAACCTTCCAATTCTCCTCAGTATTTCATGCCACCCTATTTTCTTTGAAGAGATCGCGCACAGGGAGCACCCATGCCTCCAACGTGGGTTTTTTCTATCTAGTTTTTTCGTTCTTATCTATATGAGCGATTTCACTGGAGGAGATTGGAAACCAGTCAGAAGTTTAGAATATGCACAAAAAAGTTTTTTAAACAGTTGTTGTGGGTTCAGAAGCTTTTTGAGCGCGTTGCTACCTGCCTCTCTGTACCCATGATAATAAGTTCCACCTTTTACAACAGAAAACAGGCTACATAAAAAACACAAGCTGCAAGAACGAAGCTCACCCGCTGCCATGACTTTGAAATCGCATTCCTTGTTTCTCCAAACTTTTTATCGTAGATGAAGGTTCCAATATGTAGGCAAGATTACGGTTGTAAGGACGCCGATAATAGATCATTTTGTAGTTGAAAGAATTTGACGTAGACGATTCTCCTTGTTCATGTGAATCGTCTTGCTCTTTTTGTCCGGATAAACTTCCTCCAGTTGAGCGGTGGAATACCAACATGGTCAAATTCACACTTCTCTATCCAAAACTGAGGTTGCTGTAGAATTTTGTGGAAAAGTCGACAAGCCTGCAATGGGAAGAGAATACGCTCAATAAATTAAAAAATAGCAATATTATAAATATTTGAAGCCGTACATAATGTCGTGTTTGAAAGCACACATGTCTCGCAGTTTCTCCTACTTTCCATTGAACTACTCAACTATACTACATATTATTAAAACTAGAGACTATCGAATGAGATTTTTGGCTGGTTTACCATAAGTGACTATTTCTTCTGTTGTTAAGCTGACAACTTGTGCAATTACTACCAGAGCAAACAATACAGTTATAATCAGCCAACTTTTGCACTTGTTTTATTCCCTTTTCAAAACCTATAACAACTCATTATCCTCCATTGTCATTGTTTGTATCTTAAATAGCCTCGGTCACGGTACACTTGTACAGGGATGAGGGCGTAGGATAGCGTCTTCTGCAGCGCCAGCCAAGAAACCTCGAAGATGCGTTCATGCTGTCCGTGAGCGTCTCGAGCATTTGAGCAACTAGGAAAGTATAGGTATTGATTTAGAGCAAGTCAGCGCTTTCAGCGACTGGAAATGTGCAGGTATGAATCTGGTGTCTACCCACCAAACGCTCAAAACACTTGCGCGCTCAAAACGCCAGATTCATACCTGAATTTTCCCAGTAGCTGAAAACGCTAAAGCACTTTAGATCAATACCTATCCTTCCTGGTAGCTCAAATGCTTCAAATGCTGCCGAAAAAGCTGATGCGAAGTATGAACACACTCTTATGATATAGACCTGTTACCGCGGAGACTCATTTCAACATGGCAGCCACTTAAAGTTGAAAATTGTCGCTTTGGGACAATTGCATGCATGTTTCTGTCTATCACAAGACACCCGCAAGAAACCCTTGGTTGTTTTCGTTGGGAGTGATTGGGCCCCATCTATATACCCATGTTAAGTGAAGTAGCCCACCGCACTCCCAAGCTGCCGGAATATGGGAATGCACACAAACCTTTCAGTGCGCACTTCTTTTAATATTTCTATGTGAAAGTCAGAGAGTCCCTCGACTTTGGATGACTATTTTGTCTTATAAAAGAACGATGAATCCCGCAGAAGTATAAGCTGGCAATAGGGCTGATAACTCTGAAGGCATTTGCTACTGTTGGAATGGCTTTTGTGTTGGAAATGAGCATTTTCACCCAACAATAAGTCTAATGGAATGAAGTAAGGTGTGGGTTAACGAAGTCCATTTTGCAAAAGGGGTTTTCGGGTTTCAGGGGAGTGGTTCACCCATTTTGGACCCTTCATACTCCCATGCGAACAACGTGTCATGAGACGTAGCATGCAACAACTATAACTATACAACTGCGGACCTATAATGGACCAGTGCCTGAGCAAGTTACTTTCTAGCACCTGGACTGACAGAGGATTTATTCTGCAACTTCCCATCTTGGATCCATAGATTTATCCTTTTATTTTCCTTGTTTCCAAAACAGCGCAAACGCAGATTATGAAACCTAGTCCTTGACACAAGCGATGACTAATACAACGGCCAGCACTTTTACAACTGACGGAATCGAATACACAAATAGAGATGAATCATTCAACAAACAAAGTTTAAAAGTGTTTGAAGAGAAGTACAAATTATTCTGATTCATTTCCTGTGTAGAATTATACAAGGTCCAGAAAATAAAAAGTACCTGATCAGCATTGGCGAGCGAAGTACCGTCACATCTTTTTAATATTTCGAACCATAACGTTTCCTCGGCATAAAATGGATCCTTCGAGCAAGATTTCTCGTGCTTTAAGATATTATTAGCAACACTAGATAATAAACCTATCATGAAGATTCTGAAATAAAACTGATAAGAGAACGAGTTTTCGACACAAAACGTCGAGACACTGCGATCAGAATCGGAATTAAATGTTGAGGACCTCAGGTTTTCCGAAGAGCGAAGAGAAGGATCAATTGGCAACTCAAGTGTGTATAGAACTTCAGGATGAATCATCACAATATGCAGAGAGGGCTATCTTTATGGCGGCTGCACAACAAAATGGTCGAGAAATGCCCCACCACAGCACGAAGCTTGGCGCTTGCGTGTGTTGCGAAAAGGACACGCTTCAAACCATCAACGTAGATGAACAATAGCAGCATTACCTGAAGCTGCCTTTTCTTTCTAGCAGGTGCTATGTATCTTACTGTTTACAACCGGTAATGACAGTGAACATAATGGACCAACAATGCAATCTTTTCGGAAGAAGGGGGCAAGAGCAGCAGGGACTGAAAGATGAATCATCGCCACACCTTTGACAGAGACGTTATCGCGACCTTAATGTTAGCACCGTATACGTCACATAAAAGATGACCCGACAGAAGAAGAGAGGGAGTACCCTCGGAAAAACTTTACTGGAAACTCAAGCGTTTTGCGGCAACTTCAGAGCACATTGTGGATGGGAACGTAGTTTTGTTAGAAACAACCAGGTGAGGTAGTAAAGGCACAATGGTGAAATGAGCGATGCAGCTGTGGAAGTTCGCAGTTAACTGGTTAACCAGCTGGCGGCAGCTACCTCTA